GGTACATCTGCTAATGTCAGGACAATAGACAGTCTGTTTAAACACATACAAACAGCTGTTTGTGAAGTCATTAAGGACAAAATATGTTCTGTTGTAAGTCAGGAAACACATACAATCAGTATTTAAGGTGAGCTAGCCATGTGATCAGTCTTTCAGAAGCTTTGCAGAAAAAAATTGATAGAAAATAACTAAAAATGAAGAATGAAGAAAAAATGTTGATGAGAAATAAAAGTGAAGAAGTGTCTTGTACCGTTAAATGCATCTGGGATTTGTATATCCTCACTGTCGGAACAAAATATCTCCAAAATGGTAACTCTGCAGAAGGGAAAAACCATTCTTAACTTAAAGTGGGAATTAATGTAACAAGCTTTTTTCTTATTATGAAATATTAAGAGAATGTTACTACAAATGACGCAAAAAGAAAAAAATGCAGAAATGGAGATACGAGGTTTTTGATATTCAGGTGTTGGTGCACATTCACAATGCAGCAGTAAGCAAAACACAGCTACATACACTCTCCTCATGAAACTCAGTTATGCGATTCAAAAAATACTACAATATACCATTACCTTAGTTTCTATCCACGTCTGGTTACAAGCCAGTTCAATGAGGCTCTTTGCGTCTAAAAATATGTACAAGAACCAAACCAGGAGAACAGAAGTCTGACAAGCTCAAACACTGACCATTAACACATTAGTAGTTTATCCATTGTTTGAATTATGTTCTGGCTTTTGGGGGGTCTCTTGAAGACTATAACGATTGGGGTTGATAGGCGGGCTGCATGTGCAGAGCAGCATTTATTAGTGCAAATCCAATACTCACAGTCACAAAGCAGATCCATTTAGCAAACACAGTAAACAAAGCAAGTCAAACAGTTCAGGACACCAATGAAAATCAAAAAGATGGAAAAAATAGTCACATGTTTACTGTGGGAAGAATCACATTTATTCTGCAGAACATTATCAGTTTTACACTTCCTACTGTCATCTGAATAAACTGCAAAATGAACACAGATGAAACCTCAGGACAGAAACAAACTCTCAGGAGAACGTTCAGCTTGGAATCGAGAAACTGATGCCTTGTTGTAAAAGACCAAAACAGAAACAGGTTGAAAGTTTGATTTGATCAAAATTTCTTTTTAATATTAACCACATAACCCAGCTTCCCCAAATTTCTGATTTTGTTGTTTTTAGGGGGGCTCACAACTCTGTTTGGGGAGCTAAGCTGTCCCTGCCTCCCTCATCATTTGAATGGTGAACACTCATAAAACTGAGTTCAGCATTGTGTCTCTCTTTATGTTTATACTCTGAACAAGGCTGGAGATACTTCAGCTCCAGTCTGTACTACATCTCCACTGAGAAGAAGAGCTGGAGTGAGAGCAGACAGTTCTGCAGAGAGAGAGGAGCAGACCTGCTGATCATAAACAGCAGAGAAGAACAGGTGAGAGAGAGAGAGAGAGAGAGAGAGAGAGAGAGAGAGAGAGAGAGAACCGTTGTTCATTATTCTTTGCTACAACTTCCACAGGAATTCATCAGTAAAGAATTTGGCAGTACTGAAGCTTGGATTGGTCTGACGGACATGAAGAAAGAAGGGGTCTGGAAATGGGTGGACGGCTCAGCACTGACCATTAAGTAAGAGACCACTTAACTGAACCCCGCTTAGAATTCATATTTACCATTCTGTGAAGGTCTAGATGTGAAATAGTGAAGACATTCATTATTGTTCTTTCAGGTTCTGGTTTAAGGGGGAGCCCAATGATTATGAAGGAGATGAGGACTGTGCTGTAACTGGCTATAAAGGTTCTGGATCTGAACGTGTATCAACCTGGGCTGATTATCGCTGTACCTGGGCTGAATACCCTTTAGTTGGAATCTGTGAAAGTAAATGGCAGAAACTGTTTTCTTTTTCATTCATGAAATAATGGAATACAATAATTGCTATTCATCATCGTGTTTATTGATCAGTTTCAACTATTTAAACTTTATAATGATCAGGAAAAGTTCTCAGTGTTTTCTGTTTATTGAATAAAAAGACATAAGATAAAATATTATAGGCAATTTAGCTTAGAAACTCAGGTTATAGGAGTCCAGATAGGCTAACATGACAGTACAGCACAGTATGATTACATGAGTTCCTGTGCCTAATTTTGTTACTATTTTTGCCAGGTTAGCAAGTGTGACACGGCTTTTGTCATAACCAGTTTAGACAGGAACAGTTATCTGTCCGAGTAACACAACAGCTACCAAACACACTGAGCAGCGTTTGATTGAAGTCTGTTTGAAGGTTTTTCTGACTTCAAATGTAAATCATTGTCTATCTTTTCTTTCTCTTGCAGTTAAAGCTGACGTTACTAAGAAGGTGTCAGACTGATCAGCAACTCAGCTCAGCCAGTTATTTACTCTTCCTGATGAGGCCCAAGCCCTATCACAACAATGCTACCTGCTGCAGAATGGAATCTAGAGTTGTGCTGATGACTTCTGTTTTATATTGCTTAAAGCATTCACTACATGTTCTAGCAGCAATGCTACTAGCATGTATGTTAGCACCAAAATACTGCTATACTTCAATGCATATTTTTGCTTTTAAAAAATTGGTGTGGCTTTTTGGTCACGTCAGCAATGCTGGACAACAAATAAAGTGCTTGACCACTCAAAGATATAAAACAAAACTGTTCATATTTCATTTTTAACTTACCTGTTTATCTGAAAACACAACTTTGTCATCACTCTGAACTCCTCTGTCCTTCATGAGGGTTTTCCAGCTGAAAAACATGACACCATTGTTTACCCCAGTTATTTGCTGATGCTGGTCTCTTAGTTTTCTTCCTTTGTTTTCTTGCATTTTTATGTGGCCTCATGTTACTCGCTGCTGACTCCCCATCGTTTCTGCTTGTAGAGTGTAGTGATGATGCTCCATGATCATTATTTCTGTTCAGTATTCAGCAACACACAGCTCACCTGTCAGGTACTGCTTTGGATTATCTAGGGGAAACTGACTAGCATAGCCTTAGCAGCTTTAACCAATGAGTCTATGTCAGGGAAGAACAACTCTTGTCCTGGAGGGCTGGTGTCCAGCACAGTTTGGAGGTTTCCCTACTCAAACACACCCACTAAACCTTTAAATTAACAGATGAGTGTAATCAGGTGTGTTTGAGCAGCTTAATCACCAAACAGTGTTGGACACCGGCCCTCCAGGACTGGAGTCGTGCACCCCTGCTCTGACTAGACAATGACAAATCACTTTTATTCATAGCGTTTACATTTTTATTTATTCATTCATTCATTTTTGTTTCAATTACAGATCAGTGATTATAGTGATTATGTGATTATAGAGAGAGACCAGTTACAGTAGCATATAATAATAATAATAATAATAATAATAATAGAAAGATCAATTCCAGATTACTTACAATGATAGTTCTAGTGAGAAATAAATTACAGACCGGTTACAATGATGTAATTATGTAGGAAGACCAATTACAATAATACAATTACAGAGAAAGAGCAGTTGTGGACCAGACATGATCACAGAGAGAGAAGTTACAGACCAGTTCAAATGATACATGATTCTGATTGATTGTGAAATTCTAAGTGTTACTGAATTCATATTAGTGAAAACTGAACTGTTAAAATTCTCTTCTTCCATGTAGGAATGAGTCCATCTATTCTTTCAATAGCTGCTGTTCACAGATTCTCAGTTCTGCATTGATTTTGTCTGAATATAAAACAGTACATTTATTACTGAATAGCGCCCTCTGCTGGTTAGAATTAAAACCCTCTGGCTTCTGTCACAGATGCTTCCTCTGTATGAGCTGAATGTCAGTGAGTTATTTCTGTGTCTGTGAATCTCATCAGACTTGTCCCTGTTGCCCTCAGCTTGACCATTATGAGTCTTGACCCAAATTACTGTAAAGCTCCTTTGTGACGATAACCAGGTTTCCATCCACATATTTAATGCATATTTTGAAATATTGATAAAAAATATCATTGATGTTGGGACCAAACCCGGAATCTCTGTTGTTGTATTTTTACATAACTTAAATCACACTGTGTGAAAACTTCATCATGAATAGAAAAACAGAAATAGTCCAAAATTACTAGGAACAAGTCTCTGTTTATTTCCATGAAGGCTGCATGTACCAGCTGAATAATGAAGAAATTAAAACGCTCTTTGTATTTTTTTGTAAAAATAATTTGTTTATAGTTTTTAGTATAGTACTTTCAGTAGACAAAAAATTGAGTTCAGTTTCTTTTATTATAAGGGTTTAAAATTACATTACCAATCTATCTGACTGGAAAGAAGACAGTTACAGCTCTTATATGACACCCACCTTTTGAATGTAGCTTATGAAATATGAAAGTTATGAAGAATATGACGAAGTGCGTTTTGGAACCACCGGTGGTTCCAAGGCGTTTAAGAGGTTAAGAAAATATAATGGAATTAGACTGTGTAGTTATAATAATAGCTATTTTTTGAGTCATTGTATTTGTCAGTGTGTTCTGCTTCCAAACTCTTACAGTGTAAAATATAGTCATTAAACTAAACATCAATGAGAAGATACTCAACCTTAAGGATTTTGCTGTAAACTCTGTCCATATTTTTAAGAAGAGAGGCTTATTTTCTTATACAGGGCTGACTGAAACTCAGTCTAATTGTAGCATTTCAGTCATTCACTTCAGTTTAATAAGAGCTGCATGGAGACCTGGCTAATGTCTACTGTAAAAAAGCACCCTGTAAAAACAGGGAGCAGAAATGAATATAAGCCTTTATGAAGAAGAGTCATCTGAGGCAAATAACGCCCCTCCTAAACTTCTGCTCTACGGTGATACAAAACTATAACAATCAGCCAGAATACTGGATCCACATAATCACAACAGTGCCATCACTATCAGTTCTCATTTCTTGATATAAAGTTAGAAATGTTCTGGACTGAATAGCTACCAAATGACATACACTGGAACTTTTCATTACATACAGGTGGGAAGTGTAAGGCAGGATGTATGCATGCGTAAGTATATTCAAAACAAATAAAACATTGCAAACATACACAACACAAAGACACAAAAACATGGTGGCTATAAATACACAGAGAAGAGTAAATTCTGGGAGAGTTTACACAAAACACAGGTCACAGTAATGACTAGGAGGGCAGAACTGGGGAAGAAGAAGGGCCCGGGACCCCTCGGAACTGGGACAGAGCTAGGGACTGTAGCGAACTGGCTGAAACTTTACCTCAAGCAGAGTGTACCCAAACGTTAAGGGCCTTTTGGCTCCAGCAAGTCTGGGAGTGAGGCGTAAAGCTGTCGGCTTAATACCCCCAACCCCAGACTCAGTCAGATTTACAGCTGAATCGAGAACCAGCCCCCCCGCTCCTTTGACCTGGAGGGCAGCAGGACACCTACGCTGGAATGTGGCAGATGTGGACAACTTTTTATCTTAAGTAACAGAAAGTACATTTCTAAGGTGTTTGTCCACTCCATACTGCAACCATTCGTTAGAACTCTTTTTAACTAACCTAGACATACCAAAACGGAATTTGTACGACTTTGGACGGCAAAATTCCAACTTTCTAAATTCCCTAGGGATCTCAAGCATGGACCCACAAACTGCAAATTACCGCATCACCACCATAAGGACTTGCGCTTATAAGAAAGCAATAAGCTTCGTACTTTGTCTGCTTGATTATCAACGTTTCTGTGATCTGTAAGTAATACTACTTGTGGTATTAATCTTGTTGTTGTGTAGTACCTAAATATTACCTGTATCTTTTTCTATCGTTAAGTGCTAGAAATACGTAGAGTATAACTTTGATAACAGTCAGACCCAACCATTTAATTGCTATGAGTTAGACCATTGACCAAGATGTATCCTGAATGTGGTTTTCTTTCTTTTCTTCCTTTTTTATTGTTGAGTTTAGTTTTTTCATGCATTGGGTCATGTTCAGAGATGATAGGCAAATAGTACCTGTGTTCTTCGACATGTATTGTGTATCAGGTAACAAGGGTTAAACTCTCTTAGAAACATACCTGAATATCCTAATTATTCATTCCTTGATTTTGAAAGTTAAACCAATGGGATGATATAGAAATGTTCTTTTTCTTTGTTTAAACTAGCTGAAACAAAGGAGGCAGTGATTTTGGGGAAGGCGTTCCTCAAATTATGCACAACCAATCAGAGTTGAAAACAAGCTAGTTAACCTTAGGTGAGGAGAACCTATCAGCACTCTGGCACCACCTCCAAAGGGTAGGGCCTCCAGCCGAGCAAAACCAGAGTGCACCGCAAATTTGAGAGAGTTCCTGCGTTCGCAACAGAAGGATAGCTAAGTTTCTAAGTTTGTGCCGGCCTTGGTCAGAAAGACAGGTCAGAAGTATTAGAACGCTAAATTCTCAGATCTGAAACCTTGGTTTGTTTTGTAACTTACCTGTTTGTCTACACACTTTAAGCTAAACCGCCCTCAGAGAAGGAAGGTGGATATTTCTTGTCTGGCCAGGGAGAATATATCCATAACTTTCGATTCTGCTAAAGAGAGGTAGTTAGTTAAATTGGTACCACCAGCCTCAGAACCCTGATTGCAACCTGAACCTCGCCAGCGGAGTGGGAGTGGTTCAGACGCCACGGAGACCCAGCATCGCACCCAGAGCCACGCACTGATCTGTGAACAGATCAACCATCGAAAGGCCGCCCAAGCTCCACCATCAGACGGCCACGAGCCGCCTCCGCCCAATCACTGACGGGAAGGCGCGTGCCCGCGCTGAGATGCAGCATCCACGGCCAGCTAGGAGAGGAACCACCGCGTGAGCTCCAGCCTTCGATCGAGTCCGTCCTGAGACGACCCCTCCTGAAATCAGCCCCGACTCCAATGTATGCTGGAACCATCAATTTGCAGTCAGGGTCCTGACGCCAATTCATTTAATTGAACTTTTATAGGTACATCCAGCCATATAGTTATTCCCGTCCAGGCTTAGGTTATAATTCTCTAGAGGCTCTCCCAAGCGACTCCCCAAACCACACTGCCTCATACCATTTAGCCGTGAATCACTCTTAGCTTACTTGAGCTATTTTGTCTTTCATTACTATCACTTTGTTTTGTTTTGTTTTCTGGTTTTATTTTCTATTGTTTATCATTGAATGTAGTCCAAAAGTAGTTTGATATTTAGCCAATAAATTCCCTTTTCTGAAGCATCCTTGGTGCGAGCGTTTCTCTCTCTTGCCCTGGTCTGTAGACTTCAAATAAATCCGGGTTACCTCACACCCTCACATAAGGTTCTAGCAATAATAATATTAAAAATTGCAAAACCCGTTACAGGACTGTAACAGGGCAAGGATGTAGCCCCAACAGCCCCCTTAAAGTCAACACTCTGGTGATGTCCGCAGTACACAGATGTACAGTACAGCCTTTAGCTTTAAAAGTCTGTGTTTGTGACACTCATGTGATGTACAGGCTATGAAATACTGTAGCTTCCAAAAACAGCTTGTTAATGAGAGAGACAGGAACAATATTAAAAGCTGTGGATGGTGGTCCAGCTGATATTTTGGTAAAGCAACCCCCAGCAAAACAACCAATATGTAAAGTGTAGGAAAGTCTATATAGTTAGTTTGTCATAAAGCTGCTGTTTCTGCAGTATCCAGTAGATGGCCCTAGAGTCAATATAACAAAGTTGCTGCCTTTCTGCTTCACCTTTTTGTCCCTTCTGTTATTCCGTAGTTCCCTCATGCAGAGACTGAAGGGAAAATCAAGTTAGTTCATTCCTTTGTTTCCACTTCGCTGAATGCTGTTGTTGAATGCTACAGGGCAAATGTGGCTAGTAATGCTGATATCAGAGTAACTTTAAGCTGCTTGAGTTGAAGTAAATGAAGATAATATTTGTTCATGCTGACCAAACTTACTTTCTATTCAACTCCCTAAGTTACAGCTAGTTAAGTTACAGGTATAATGTTTGACTAGTAGAGTAGCTGCCTTTAGTGCTTGGAAATATGGCCAAAAATGTAATCACACTATAAAATTTCATATCCGTTGATATCGATACATATCAAGATAAATGTCAGATCACTATTGCTTTCAAGTTTGAAGACTGATTTTGCTCCTGAATGGTTAATTGTGGTTTTAAACTATCCTTTATGTTTAGAACATGACAAACACTCAGCAAA